GTCTCTTTAATTTCGTTCGATAAGTTAGCGAGCCGAACACGAAATAAGATGTGTTCGTTCGTGTTCAGCTAGTTAAAAAATTTAATTGACTACAATTGACTACAAGTGTTCGTTCGTGTTCAGCTAGTTAAAAAATTTAATTGACTACAAAACTACAAAGATTTATAACCAATTAAAATATTGATTAAGAAAATAGAATAAAAATTATTAAATTAGATTCAAATGATGTTTTAATATAAATAATAATTTTTAAATCTTGCTCAAACCCTTATTGTCTTATGGCTATATGATTAGGGTTGTTAAAATGACTCTTTGTTTGTGAACAGCTCGTGTTCGGCTCGTGAAGCAAACGAGTCAAACACGAACACATTTTTTGAGCTCGAAATATATATGAGCCGGCTCGTTTATCTAACATAAAAAATTTGATATTTAAATTTATAAAAATAAAATTATATTGAAAAGTTAAGGATGAAAATGTATATTTCACTTTTAAAAAAAGTTAGTGATAGTGATAGTTTTGATGTGATGTTCTTAGAACTAGGAAGTTATGTCAACATGTTTTTGAAAACTCTTGGGTAATGTTTGGTAGCATACTATTAATAGGATTTAGAGTATGTTTAAGGCGGCGGTGCAGCGTCACACCATAGTTATTTCGGTTTGGCAAATCTGTGTTTTGTCTGTTTTTTAAAAAACTGCAGTTGAAAGCTGTATTTTGTCACTGGATCTGGTTAAGTGTGGTGGCTATTAGAAAGTCGTGGTCTGACTTATTCAAAAAAAAATTGTAATAGTCACTGCAGATTTTCGATCAGCATTTGATGAGTCGAGCTGTCGTGTAAGAAGGCATTCGATAAGTCGGGCTGGATAATTTTCCACCTATGGTACAGAGCAATTGTCCAACAAACTGAGAGTTTCCTCATAATCAATGCCTTACTCGTGTTTGAAACCTTGGGCCACCAGACGAGCTTTGAATCATGCTACTGAGCCAACGAAGATGTTTTTCGTCTTATATGTCCAGCAACAGCCAAGTTTATTTTTGGAGGATGGTGGTGGAAAAAGATCCCATATACCTTGTTGTTGTAAGGCTAAGAATTCATGAGACATGGCTATTCTCCAATGATAGCTTTTGACTGCTTCAGTAAAGCTTTCATGGGTATCCAAGTGCCAGTTTGCATTATTGTGTGCATTGGATGACAAGGTATTGCGTATATAGACATTGGAGGATGGAATTTGAATGGCTATGAGTGTGCAGGTGACGGATTTGTAAATGGATTGGTAGTGGGTGAAGGGGAAGAGAGTGCAGGAAGAGAAGAAATAGAGTTAGAAGATAAGGGGGTGGTACAATAAGCATGTGTTGTTATTAGTGGTGGAATGGGAGGGGAGGATTTTAGCTTGTGAAGGTGGGGAGGTGGTTGTTTTGTAAGGGAAATGAGATTCAACAGAAATAATTTGCCAGGACATGATGATTTTTTCAGTGGTTAGATTATAGCAGCAATAATCTTTGTGGGAGGTAGAGTAGCCTATGAAAACACAATGGGGACACCGGGGGTGAATTTCTTTGTTGTTAGAGGTTGTTTCCAGGGACAACAGGACGTCCCCAAGGTGGGAAGGTGGAAGTGGTTGGGTTTGCATTTGTGCAAGAGTTGGTATGGAGATAGCATGTGAGTCGTCTTAGGGTCTGTTTGGGGCTACTTTTGCTTGTTAAAAAGTAGTTGAAACTGTTGAAGAATAATCTGGTGTTTAAAAAGCACGGTGGCTATTACAAAATCTTTTTTTTAAAAAAAAAAAGTCAGGCCGCGGCTAGAAAGCTGCGACCGCACTTAGTTAGAACCAGTGGAAAAATGTAGATTTCAGTTGCAGTTTTTTCAAAATGCTGACAAAATGCTGTTTACCGAAACAAATAGGATTGCAATGCAGTGTCGCACTACCAGTGCACCGCCGCCCTAAACAGACCCTTAAAGCACATTTGATTTATTAGATACAACGCTCTAGAGACAACATCAAGCCAAAAAATGTGAGGAAGATTTGCCTGAAGTAAGAGTGTCCTCATGGTTTCAATAACGTGTTTGTGTTTCCTTTCAACCACTTCATTTTGTTGAGGAGTGCAGGGGAGTTAAATCGTTGAGGAATGCCTGTAAAATGGAGATGAGATCAAAAATCATGGGAAGTGAATTCACCACCTCCCATCTAATTGAATTTGTTTGATGTTAGCATTAAATTGTGTGGTAATTAATTTTTTGAAGGGAGTAAATTTTAATTGTGATTCAGCATTGTTCAACATTGGAAACAGTCAATAGAACCAGCAAAATCATTAATAAAAATGTAGTATTATAACTAGCTAAAGAAATAAATGGAGAAGGTCCCAATACATTTATACGAACTAATTTGAATGGATAATTGGTTTTGGTTATTGACTTAATAAAAAGTAATATCTGACTCTTTCAGGAAAGACGAGAAATACAAGAAGAAAGTGGAGAGGAGATATGTAGAGAGCTGTTGCGTTTGGAGATGGCATGCCAAGGAGCTGTTGAACTGACGCCTGAGGTGAGAGCACGAATTTGCTGAACGGTCATTGTTGATGCTACCTTCAAGGAGAGTTTCGTGGGTGGGTCTGATCCTTGATTTGATAATCGGAAGAACGAAAGAAATGATATAATTGTTGTCAACAACTAAGGTTTAAACTGACATAAGGTTATGGGAGAGATAGGCAACATGGAGAAGATGAGAGATATGGAACCGTATGGTTTGTTGTGGACAAAGTCCTTCTTTGATGGGTGAAATGGGAAGAGAAGAAAGAATTGCTCAAAACCTACTTTGTATATTCATAACATGGACTTAAATAGGGTATTGCAAAGTTTTACAAATAAACCCATAGACTTCTTCAATGTTCCCTTTTTACAAATAGGACCCTAAATTTGGCCCAAATCTCAACACTCCCCTCAAGATGTACAAAAGATATCCCCAAGCTCATTTAATCATATAGCCTATACAAATCTATGGTGTATTCCCTTTGTGTATTCTTGCACACCGGATCGTCACAGCTTGACATCGGTGAGAAGGGATCAAAATCTGCCAGCAGCCACTCCAAATCTATGTTGTATTCCTGAATCGATCTATCACCTAGTACCACTGCTTCTATCTCATGATGAATCTGAAACACCCTTATTTTGATTCTCCATCCCAGTATAAATTCTCTTCAGTTTTGCCCAGATGACCCTCACCATTCAAATGACATCTTCTAATCAGGCAATAGATGGAACCATTGAGTTGGGAAGCCTAGTGTAAATTAAGATGTGTGTGCTCCTCTAATCATCTCCCTCAACATTGTCACCCTCTGGCTCAACCTTGCCTATCGTTAGGTATCCTTCTAATCTCTTCCCAACTAAAGTAGCCTCAATCGGACAAGATCAGATACGTGGTCGGTCCATCAAGCTTCAAATTCACAGGAAGGAGATCTAGCTTTACCTGTGTCAGAGTACGTACTGAGGTAGTGGCTCCCGTTGAGACGATAGCTCCTTGTATGAGTCCGATCAAGACCTTCAGAACCTCATGAGGTAGTTTCCCTAGACGCTCCAATCCTTGACCTCCTACACCATCACTTTCTCCTGAGCTTCTGAATCACAAGGATCCAAGTCTAGATCACACGCAACTTCTTTTCTTTCTGTCTTTGCGCTCCATATCTTGTACGCAAAAGTCACGCATCTCTCCCTGTTTGTTCCTCTCTGTCACCTCCCCTTGTCCTTGCATAGTGTTGCTCCACTCCTTCCTCTCTCAACAAACCACATAAGCCCTCTCCTACCTGAATCCCTCGCGATACAGTCGAGAAAGATGGAATTGCAGTGTACAGAGAACCCTGTGATACAGTCAGAATTAGAGCTTATTGGGAAGAAAACTCGTAATCTCGTACCTTCGTGACTGAACCCCGAGAGACAGTCGTGATCTGCACCTTGAGCTTGCTGGGAAGGTTATTCGTGATCTCGCCGAACCCTGCGAGACAGTCGCGATCCGTACCTTCATGATCGCGCCCTACAAGGCAGTCGCAATCCAAGCTTGTTGGGAAGGCGACGACGTGACCGAACCTGCGATACATCAGTTTCCTTTGTTTGGGTTCAAAGGGTTGAACAGCCAAATATATGAAATTCATATCATTATCCTCTAAGGTCAATCAATAATAGAGTTCACTATATGGAGTGGCAAAGTAAAGTTTATTGCTATTGATCTGTTAGTTGATTGTCAAAATTTTGAGAAAAATATGTTGAATTCTGAATAGGCTTGATAGTCTTTTCCCTTTGTTTTCATTCCATTAAATAATAATCTTACAATCTATTTTAGGTACAAAATAAAGTGCATAATCTATTTTAGGTAACTTAATAATACATATTCCTAATTTAAATACTCAGCTAAAAGGGAAATAAATCAGAACAAAGATATTGGAAATAACTTAAATAAGAAAGCTCCTAATTATAGAAAACTCCTAATTTAGCTGTCAGATTTCCGTCCTTCTTGATTGACATCCCCCCTCTAATTGATGTTGACTGATCATGAATCATCAATTTGCCAAAAAAAACTGATGACACAGCGGGACCAAAAATCCTCAAGCCGTGAGTGTCGAAGGAGAAGGTGCTGAGGTCGAGAATGCCGAAGCCTCGGAGACAACTCCTGAACCATAACATGATTTGAGCAAAGAAAAACAAGAAATCATTTATCATTGTTGTCTAGATATTCAAATCATAGCTACGAGAAGGATTCGCTTCTAGTTACACAATACAAATGCTACCGATCATAGCCCACAAATAGGATCCAATTACAAGATCCAGATGCTATCGATCATAGTCTATAAGTAGGATCTGCGTCCTGATATCCAGTTACACGATCCAGATGCTATCAATCATAGCCTACAAGTAGGATCCGCATCTTGATCCAAATGCTACCGATCATAGCCAACAAATAGGATTCAGTTACACGATACATATGTTATCAATCATAGCCTACAAGTAGGATCCGCATCTTGATCCAAATGCTACCGATCATAGCCAACAAATAGGATTCAGTTACACGATACATATGTTATCAATCATAGCCTATAAGTAAGATCCGTGTCCTGATCCAAATGCTACCGATCATAGCCCACAAATAGAATCAAGTTACACGACCCAGATGCTATCGATCATAGCCTACAAGTAGGATCCGCGTCCTGATCCAGATGCTACCGATCATAGCCTACAAATAGGATCCAGCTACACGATCCAGATGCTATCAATCATAGGATTTGCGTCCTGATCCAGATGCTACCGATCATATCCTACAAATAGGATCCAGTTACACGATCCAAATGCTATCGATCATAGCTTACAAGTAGGATTCGCGTCCTGATTCAAATGCTATTGATCATAGCTGACAAGTAGGATCCGCGTCTTGATCCAAATGCTACAGATTCTTCCTGCGAGGATGAAGACGATTTGTTCCCTGATTTTTTTACGGCAAAAGTGTTGAAGTTGAGATGTCGAAGCCGTGAGTGCCGAAGTTGAGACAAAAGCATCGATGCCTAGCGAAGATCTAAATCGAACGAATAATAATACAAACATAACAGTCATTTTCAACCCAAGAATCCTTGTATCCCACAATGAATGGATTTTGCATTTCAGAATAAATTCCATCTCTTCGCGTGCAGACCTTCTTTGTTGCGTCAGTACTAAGAAGATCCACATATTGTCTGTATCTCCCCGTCGGATCCACCACCTCGAATGGCTTTGCGTCCTTGTCCGTCGGATCTGGCCTTACGCTTCGCATCCTCCCTGGATCTGCGTCGCCAATCGCAATCCAATCCACAACCCTTCTATCGATCAAATGAATATAGAAGAAGCACAAATAACAAGAAAATAAGATGTCCTGGATTCTCTCAGGTGTTGGTTCCTATCAGCCATCAATCGTATCGCAGAAGATGCTGGGGCGATCCTCTGCTTCATTTCCATGAGAAACAACAAGCAGCCGCAAAACCTTTATAGAAAGGCTCCTGAAGAAGACGATGGACAAAGCTTGGAGGGCATGCAAGGGGGCTTTATTCCTAGTTGAAAAATTAGCCAAGGTTCGAAGATCGAAGGAGGACGAAGCAGCCGAAGCGAACGAAGGAGGACGAAGCGGTAGAAGGCGAATCGAAGGAGGACGAATAGTTCCTCCCTTCCCGCAAGAGGCCGGTGGGAAGAGAGTCTTGACGATCCTCCAAAAACTATCGATGGTTAGAGCAAAAATTTGGCTATGATACCATGTCAAAGTTTTGAGAAAAATAGGTTGAATCTGAATAGGCTTGATTCTGGTAGTAGTAGCAGGAGTATAATTCAGATTGGATCTATGCCAGCAAATAAGAGCTAAGTAGCAATTTAGCCAAATAGTTGGCAGATGATTGGAGGGAGGAGAGTTAGTTGAGATAGGGATTGTTACTTGGCAATATTTTCAGGCACATTAATCTCTTCGTTACATAGCAGTGAGTATAGATCATCAAGATTAATGAGTGTTAATTGAGAGTGAATAGCTATTTTGAATAAATTGTATGAGGGAGGTATATGATATTTAGGATATAAAGTATGATATCTTCATTTTCTTTTATTTTGGAACCAGCTGCATTGATTTGGTCTAGAATGGATTTTACTTCGGTAAAGTATGGGATCATGGAATTATTTTTTATAGAGATGTGGTGCAGCACATTCTTGAATTGGATGACTCTAGAGCGATTGGAGGATTGAAGTCTTTTGGCTAGCGTGAGACATATTTTAATGATAGAATCAAGATGAAGCACATGGGGATGAATGGTGGATGAGATGGCAGAGTACAAGGCAGCTGCAAAATTTTGATCAACCAATTTCCAGGCAGCATTATTGGTTTTCAGAGAGGGATTGCCATTGCAATCTTGCAGATAGTGAACAAGACAAGGAAAAGATACATCCAAAAAGAACTCTTCAAATCCAGTTGCCTATAATAGTTTGAGGATCTGCGCACTCCAGATTAGGTAATTATCCATAGATAGTTGTGTCAAGGCTAATGTTTTGATGTTGGCCAGAAGGAACTTCAGAGAAGGAGGCGTGGGAAGGGTAGTAGGAATGGAAAAAGTATTCATGTTACAAGTTTGGGAGGAGGAATCAATCGGGTGAGTGGAGAAGAAAGTAAATGTGGATTAAATCCTGGAAAGCTTTAATACCATGAAGCAATGGCACATAACAGAGTTGAAATCATGAAACACTTGGCTTAAAGAAATGAATTCCGCAAGCTTACTATAGTATTCCATTCAGTATGTATTTATAGTAGAAGTTAGTACGTACTAGTATACAGTAGAGTACGGATAGTAATGATTGAGGATGTTGTAGAAGGACGGTGACTTTCGAGTATGGTAGGTCAATCCATGTGACCAGTTACCAGGTGATTAGTTAGTTAATAGAGAGCTCATTGTGTGGGGGTATATACCGAGCTCATAAGCACGATAAGCACATGTGATGTTGAGTATTACAAATTTTTTTGATTTGGGTAATTTTGGAATAAACCAAAAAAGATAACACAGGATGAGCAAAAAATTATTCAAAAAGATGCTTCGGATTTACTTTACTCTCATCTAAACACTCAAAATCCCTATGTTTGAAATGCAACATGCTTAAAATCCCTCCAATCCAAAAACTCCGGAACATATTTCAAATTATCAAAGAACATAATCCACATATGCAACATCAAAGGGACCTACAAAAATGAATATATGTTAGTTTACGAGATGATCATAGAGAGGAACATTTTGTAAGGATTTTGAAGTATTTTGTAAATCAGCTCTCATGGCAATAATATATAATGACAAGCTGAGGAACGATCTCTTCATGCTAAATATAAGGGTTCAGTAGAAATTCAGTTTCCTTTGTTTTGGTTCAAATGTTTAGACAGCCAAATACAAGAAATTCATAGCATTGTCCTCTAAGGTCCATCAATAATAGAGTTCACTATATGGTGGAGTGGCAAAGTAAAGTTCATTGCTTTTGATCTGTTAAAAATAAAATCAATACCTTCGTGAGTATTTTTATTAGTAAACAGATTTATGATCTTCTTAGTTAAAGAAAATAATATTTGAGAGTTAAACAAATGTTTGATCTTCTTATTTGAACTAAGAAGATTAAAATACTTTAGCTACCCTTGGTTCCAACCAAACAGATTTATGATCTTCTTAGTTAAAGAAAATAATACTTTTTATTTTCACATATTTTTTAGTGTGAAAGTAAAATCAATACCTTCAAGAGTATTTTTAAAGGGTTTCGCGGAGTTTAGACTAAGATTAATTAATTTCTAACATCCAACCTAATAGAATAGCCAATCCCACTTACTGGGATAAAGGCTTGTTGTTGTTGTTGTTGTTGTTGTTGGATCCAATCTAATAGAATCGAACAAATTTCATCATGTTTCAAGGGTTTATTTTGACTTGAAGTAACCAATTGGAGAAGCCAAGGGCTAGCTAGAGGAGTAACTTGTCACCTTTAAATTCTTGCTAAACTCTTTAATATTATATGACACACTCAAACTTTGTTCTAACTAAACTTAAATACTGAATAATAATTTGATATTAAGTGAATTTTAAATTTCATAATCATTTTTATAATAAATGTAAAACTGTTTAAGAGAGGAGAAGTTTAAATTTAAATATCCGCCACATGGCCCGCAACTATCCTTAAGTTTTGATCAGCCCACTGAAGGAACTAAATCTAAATGTATCCTGAGAATAATCCTAATTTGTAAGCTAATGGTACACTTAAATATCCAAGCAATATCATAGAGTGTTGCTAAAAAAATATTAAGGTAGACAAGAAATGTAGGGGCAATTACATACAGACCAACCTAAACTTGCTATTTACAAATTAACTGCCCTCTTTCATCCATTTTTCAAATTCTCGCTCATACAAAATTAATGGTAAACCCCAACCCATGTTTTTCATTTTTATCGAATTCGCAATGGTTTGATCGTGGCACGCGTAAATACATCGATTCGGTAATTAAAAAAAATCACCTGTGTGGTTAATTAGTAAATATGAATGTTTCGGGTGGTTTGTATGTAACTACAAAGAGCCATGCTGTAAGAAACATTAAGCATAAACCGGAAAGCAAGATTAATACATTCAAAAGGTCTTAGCAAGAAGAAGAATTAGGCTAAATAATGACAAGGGAACACACACCATCTAACGAGAATCGAAGAAGGAGATACCATCACCTACATCACTTATTAGCCTTCTTTTTACCAGCGACTGCTACCCTCTTACCCTTGAGGGTTCTGCAATTGTTCTTCGTCCTCTGGCCCCTGCACGGAAGCCCCATCTGATGCCGAATCCCACGGTAGCAACGGATCTCCTTCAGCCTCTCAATCGCAAGTCGATTAAAACGTTTCTGCTCCCAAATTCAACAGCGACAGATCTTAAGATTACAAAAAACATCTCATCCAAACAAAAGAAATTGATGAAGAAAACTAACTAGGTCTCCCTCGATCATGTACTTGGAAACCTCATCACGGATCTGGATAAGCTCGTCTTCAGTGAGATCTTTAGTGATTTTATTCTCCACACCTAGGTCGAAAAGGATCTGGCGAGAACGGCTTCGGCCGACGCCGTGGATATGCTGCAGCGAGTACTCTACGCGCTTGTTGTTGGGGATTTCCACACCTCCGACTCGAACGCATTGGATTCTAATCCCTCCGAGCTGAATCAAGGAAAAGGAAGGAGGTTGAAGAGATTGAGTAAGATGCGGGTCAGCGTTACTGAGAGGAAACGGTGCTTAACCTTTGGAGAAGATGAAGAAGAGGAAGAGAGGGAGAGGGAAGTCGGAAGAAACGAGGAATAGTTTTCGCCTCGCGTAAAGCTGGATAGAGAGGCGGCAAGGGGAAGCGTCATCGCCGGGAGGGCTGCCATTTTTTCCGTGCTACTGTTCGCTCCGAGAGTTAGCTTTCGGATAATAGCTAAAAAATGGGAAAAAAATATTGCATGTGATGCGTGGATTGGGAACAAATATTAATACAAATACCTTTTCCGGGAAAAAAAAAACAATTTTACCCCCCCCCCCCCCTCTCTTTACTCCTCATTTTTTATTCAAATGTTATTGTGATTGTATTCATATATTATTATATTCTGAAAATATTTTCGGTATAGTAATAACACAATAACACCTGAATAACGCAGAATAACATGAGAGGAATATTTCATTGTGTTACCGGGCCGATCACAGGAAAGCACATGTGTTTTCTTTTTTTATTTTTCTGGAGAGTTGAGTGTGGGTACTTGAAGTCACGTGTCCACATATCAGCGGACTCCGAATGCATCCATACGTTAGGAGTACAAATAAAATAATTTTCGGTTGACTGCTGATATTATGATAATATTATTGTAAATATCACTAAAATATTAAATATATATGGTAGTATTTTAGTGATATTTTAGAAATATATATTAGTGTTGTGGTAAATATCATCAAAATACTATCAATCCTCACCTAATCAATGCCTGTCTCATCTGCCAAAAATTTTTCTGTGCGGGCTCATGACGTAGCTCTACGTGCGGTGCAGAGTATTCCTCTATTTTCAGGTTATTTCTGGGTTATTTCTGGGTTATTTTCAATAATCCCGAAATAACCCGCGGTATTTATTTTTGGGTTATTTTCAATAATCCCAAAATAACCCAGAAATAATCTGAAAATAACTCAGGAATACCCTACAACGCATGTAGAGGTACGTCAGGTGTCCGGACAGAAAATACGCGCCTCATCTGCACGCACACAATATTTTCTCCAAAAATAGACTTGTAAATTGTAATTTTTACATAAAATACTCGTATTATTAAGACGAAAAGAGGCCTTTACAGACATACCACATAATTTTTATGTATTTATGAATCTCAATGCTCTGAAAGTAGGGTTGGACATTGAATCTATGGAAGGAGACATTCAACATTCAAAGATTGGATGATAAATCATAAATATATTTAAAAATGAAAATATATAAGATTTATACACCACTCAATTGCTATGTATTTTTATATCTAACAACTATTTTATCTATGTATTAAAATGATAATTTTGATGGTATAAATGTAAAAACATAGTCTGGGTGTTAGATATGTAAATAAATAAAATTGGGTGATAGGTACGTAAATTGAATTTCTTTGTAATTGTTATATTTTTTTATTTGATGTGAGTGATTTGGGTTGTATAAATATAAATTCTAGAGTTGAGGCGCTAGATATGTAAATAATCGTCGTTTCAATCCAGTTTTAGGTGGTCCTGTACGGGAGGGTTTTTTCTATGCCAACCAGAGCAAGACATATGGCCGGTTAAAGGTTGAAACGGTCAAAATGGCTGGTCTAGTCCGATTTTCTAAACCTTGATAAATCCAAATATTTATGGGTGATTGGGTACTTGATTTAAGTAGGATTTAAGCGTGATTTACATTAAACTCTAGCGAAAGCTTATTTTGAAAAAAGTTAAATCTGACCTAAATTAAAATTCAATGATAACCTCACTTTGTTGTAAATTCTGAATTTATTAGATTAAGGGGGGCACCGAAATTTTGTCTGTTTGGGTAGTCTGCATTATCGCAGTTTTTCAAAAAGTTGCCGCTGAAATTTAGGTTTTCCCACCACTCCTGGCTAAGTGTGGAAGCAACTTTCTAGCTACGGTATGACTTTAAAAAAAATTTGTAATAGCTGCCGCAGTTTTTTAATCATCAAATTATTATTCAGCAGTTTCACAGGTGCTGTTTAATAAACTGCAGCTGCCACAAACAGACCCTGAGAGGATTTATGTAGTGTCGGAGACAGGTCGCAAAAAATAATTAAAAGAAAAATCAAGTTAGAGATTATTATATTTCATAGTGAGGAGTATTTATCTGGGTGGCAATCACAATCCATGATGTGTCGACTTCGCATTCCATTCGATTTGTTTAAAATTTATTTGATTTTATATCAATGCTCATGTGAGTGTTTGGAAATTTATTTTATTTTTAACTTGTTTTGTGGGAAAATAATCTCTAGAGAAGTTGTATGAGTGTTTATAGAGTTTTGTAAGAAAAATACATTTCAAGATTAAATTTTAGTTGTGGATTTGACTCTACAACTCAACATGAATGTTTCAAAATTCATTTAGTCTAAATTCAATCAACAAAATGATCCCTTACTTATAATGCAAAATCTCTTTTCTATCCATTTTCTACATAATTGAATCCTTCTTAAACAAGCTCCACTTCTTGGGTTAGATGTGAGTGTGTTTGTGTTTATCAAATCAAACATTCCTCTAATTAGTTATCAGGCTAGATGTGAGTGACTATACTTTCTATCATTATCTAAACATCATGTTCACTTATTGGGTTAAATTTGAGTCTCAATGCTTCCGTCCTAGTGTATTTGGGTTTAACAAACCCTCCTCATTAATTAGCTCTGAGGCTATATGTGAGACATTTTGTTATGATCTAATCAAATTGTTCACCTCTTTGGGTTAGATGTGAGTCACTGTGTTTTTCAACCTGGTGTGTTGAGTTTATCAAATCAAACTCTCCTCTTTGATTAGCTTTTGGGTTAGATATGAGTCTATGTGCTTTCTATCATTATCTAATCACCAAGTTCACCACTTGGATTGGATGTGAGCTCTTGTGCTTTCCATTCTAGTGTATTCTGGTAATCCAAATCCCCTGCGTAAGTCTTCAATGGATCTTATCATTAGGAAACACAAAGCTCACCAACTTTATTACTTTTAAAATCGCAAAATTCACAACTTTAAAACTTCAAAGTTCTTAATGGCCAAATCAAAACTTCAGAATCGCAGAAAAGCATAACATTAAAATTTCAATACTCTCAAATCCTCAAATTCATAACTTAACATTTTCAAAATCATTAAACATAAATATCGATTTCCCAGGGGTGTGTGTTCGTCCCTCAACGGGGATCAAATCCGGGTTAGAGGGGACTTACGACTACACTACCAACCAACTCATCCTCCAGGGTGCATATATATATATATATATATATATA